AAATTTAGAAAATAAAAGTAATAAATACAATTAAATAAAAATAACTCTTTAAAAAATAATCATTCAAGCAGCAAAAAATGTTTGCCACAAAATATATATATATATATAAAAATATCCCTCATCTCCTTAACTATTGTTTCTCTGGTTTCTCTTCTTGAATACCAACTCCAATACTGATTTTCCTTATTTCATCTACTGCTGTTTTGTCATATTTATTACTCCTTCAATACCTATTTACCATTACTGTTTATTAACATATGACATATTATTTAGATTGTTCCCAATGTGTAATCTTCTTAGTTATGTCTAGTCTTTACTAAAAGAATGATAAAATAAAATGTCATCTAAATTCAAAAAGGTTATTTTGTGTTATTAAGGGAACATTTGATGAAGTAAATGGATGACTGAATGGTAATGTACAAAATATATATAACTCAGATTGAAAATTACCAGTATGATCAAAGGCAGTTGGGTTATATCATGGGTTCTAAAGTAAGTTCCTAAGAACACTTGGTAAAATGATAGGGGGCGGGACTAGATCAAGCCATTTATGTATCATATCAGGTAAATTGCCAGTGTGTGGATCTCAGTGCTGAAGGACATAAAGAGTCCTCTAACTATGAATGCTGACGTTGTAGAATAGAGTTGCAGACCATGCTTACACCTTGCAGAACTGCTTGAACTGTGACAATTAGTAAATTTAGGCAACTCAGGTAATAAGGCATTTAAACCTCTGACTCTTCTTTACCTTTTCCTGGTCTTTCATTCCTTATTTTCTTGTCAGGCAGCTTCAATAAGTTTGATAAGCATATCAATAAAAATTCAGAAAGATTTCTAACTTTTTTTCATTAATTAACTTATTTTGATGGGTTGAATGATCTATTTGAGTGTGGTGTAACCTAAGATCTGCAATCTTCATCTTTTTTTTGGTCTGAACGTCTGCATAGGATATTTGGATCATACCAGATGTCAATACTTATTATTATGCAATTACAATAATTAAAATAGAGTTACACTGGCATATGGATGGAAAAGTATGTGAATGAGTCTGGAAATAAGCCCACCTATATATTTTATTTGTAATAAAAATATCATGTGATGTGCTGTGTGATAGATGTTTTTAAATGAATGCTTTTGGATATACTGAAATATTCATATATTAATAGAAGAGTTGATTCCTATTTCATAGCAGACACAAAAGTCAGTTCTAGATGAAACCTAGGCCTAATGTAAAGCTAAAGTAACCCAGAATGTTGAATGTGATATAGCAGAATATCTTCATGATTGGATTAGACAAAGTTATTTTTTTCTTTTTTCTTCTTTTTTTTAAAGTTAATTCTTTTTTTTTCTTTTTTTTCTGGAGAGGTTTTCGCTATAGGGCGCATGTGCTCCCCAGAAAGACAGAGAGAGACAGAGAGAGAAAAAGCGAGAAATCAATCACCCCCTAAGGGGGGAAGACCACGCCACAATCCTTTCTCCTCCATTCTCCTCTTGGGATCTTGGGCACGCACACACATGCACCTGGCATGAGTTTTAAGCCACTGGGTTTGGGACTCAAACCTTGGTTGGCTACATAGGAGTCCAGTGACATAGCCATTACACTAACTGCTGATCCTGAGTTTTTTGTTTGTTTGATTTTTCTTTTTTCAACAGGACATAAAGAGCACTAATGGTAAATATTAACTGGACTTCATTCAAAATGAAAATCTAAGTGCTTTGACCTTTATATTAGTGAGAAAGTGACTCACATAGTCTGAGACGATATTTGGAGGACAAAACTCTGAAAAAAAGACTCATACACAGACTATAAAAATAACTTTTATAACTTCATAAGAAAAAAGACAAATGACTCAATTCTAAATAAATGGGCACCAAACTTCAATTGTGCCCCACCAGAGATAAGATGCAAGTGACCAATATCCATAGTTTGCACATCATTAGCGATGGGAAATGCATATTAAAACCAGAGTAAAATAGTATTATATACCCAGCTTAATGGCACCAAATAAACATACACTCATCCATCTCTCACAGTACTAAGCAAGCTGGTGAGGATAAACAACAGAATGATCATACATAACTTGTAAACATGTAAATGGCATATGATTTTGAGAATGATTTAGCATTTTCTATTTTTTTTTGAGAGATTTTCGCTATAGGGCGCGTGCACTCGCCAGACAGAGACAGAGAGACAGAAAGCGAGAAATCACCGATTTCTCCTCTTGGGATCTTGGGCACGCATGCACATGCGCCCGGCGTGAGTTTTAAGCCACCGGGTTCGGGACGCAAACCGCGGTCGACTATGTGGGAGTCCAGCGACATAGCCATTACGCTAACTGCTGGTTCCCACATTTTCTATTTTTTCAATCATCCATAAAACTGTGATTTAATCTGACAGTAAGACACAAGAAGCAATATTAGAGTTGGTTTAGTATATTATATATTTTACCTTTGAAAGCCATAGAAATCAGTTATCCCAGTTTTTTTCCCTATAAAAGGCCTATTTTCCAAACCATTATGCACCAATAATTTTAATTAGAATATAATAACAGATGACACTTCATATTTTTAAAATATACTTGAAGTCCATGACTCAGAAAAGTTACCTGCTACAGTAAGTTTGAGGGGAAACGTCATAATCTATATCATTACAGATATAAAGTATAATGGTTTAGTTTCTTTAGTGCTTGACAAGGAGAAATCATGATTAAAGTGTCAATATGAAATCACTTGATTATAGTACAATATCTAACATTTGAAATGTATCCATGCTCTTTTGTATATTAGAGTCAAATACATTTATTTTCACATCTGTCATCATTTGCTATTGCAAAGGAGAAATACTATTGTCTTATTTTCCAAGAGATATATACAGGACATTTTTTTTCCTCCAGGGAACTTGAGCAAACCAATGTAAGATCTAAGTTCTTCACATAATAGATAAAACAGTAGAAGCCTCTTCGGATCTGTATTTTGAAATCTGGAATGCTGCCACTTTCCTATTAAGAACAGTTTTTCATCCCTGTAATCTGGCTCAGAGCTGCTGTTGACTACAGGTATAGAGCAGCAGACATGATTTCTTTTTAAGCTTCTTCTTTTTCACTGATGTTTTTCTATTTATCTATCTGACCAGGTCATAAAATATCTTATTAATATTGATCTTTGATTTGGCAGAAGATTCTAAAAAAGGCACAGTTACATCACTGTCTCGCTAAATTCTGGCCCTGTTCTTTGACAAGTACTCATTCATCTTCCAGGTCACATTTATTACCAACCAAAATCATTGGAATATCTCTGTGTCCTTAACTTATAGGTCCTGTAAGTTGTTAAACATGGGCTGAGCTGTAATGCAATATACTAGTGCAAACCCTAGGCCAGTCTTCATATATTTCATTGTTGTAGATTGTTCTATCCCTGCTGTATCCAGGATTTCAAGTATATACTGTTGGCAATCTACCTCAACTTGCTTTCTGTAAAAATCTTCTATGATTGAGTCATACTTTTCAATCATTCTTTCACTTTACCATATGTATGTTATGTTTAAATTTTTAAAAAGGGAAAAAAGTATTAAACGCCTACTCTATAGCAAGATAAAAATGAGGTAAAACTAAAGAAATGTATACCATTGACCATAAAGTATAAAAAGCTTGTAGGACACAGGCTTGTCTGAAAAGCCACAAGGAAGAAATTCAAGTTGTAAAGAATTAGTCATTACAAAGGGCTTACTATACGACGAATGCATGAATGACTAAAGTTTGTGAATCTGAAAGTAATTACCTTAATTACTACCTAGAACATTCAATTTGCCATCTGAGAATGTAATTTACAAGTATGGGAACTCACCCATTTGGGGATGCCCATTCCTGACATCCTCCAGTTTCTAATCTATTGATGCTTTCACTAAGTTATCATTCACTTTATCCCATCAATCCTCATCCTTCTATAAGTATTTATCAGTTTTGTATACATACAGCAAACCAGTTCACTTTGAACAGTAGGTCTCTTATGGGAAGAGCTACAAAGATGCAATGATTTCAGAAAGATTCCACACATGGGGCCAGCAGATGGCATGGCAGTTATGTCACTGGACTTCCACATAGCCAACTGCAGTTCAAATCTCAGAACCGGTGTCTTGAAAGTCACACTGGTGCATGTGCTTGTGTGCCCAAGATCCTAGGAGGAGAATGGGGAAAAAAGATTATGGCAAGGCCATCCCCCTGGAGTGTGATTTCTCACTTTCCCTCTCACTGTATTTCTCTCTCTCTCTCTCTCTGTTTCAGTGAGCACACATGCCCTAAGGCAAGAACTTCTAAAAGAAAAAAAAAAAGATTCCACACAGAATTGTAAGGAATATTTCTTATTCTTTTACCTAAAAGATCCTTAAAGTGCTTCATACCTGTTTATTTTTACATTTCCAGATTTATCATTTTGTGATGTATAATTAAATAACAATAAAAATTATGGATAAAACCAAGTTCAGAAATTCAAAAAAGAATTAATCTATTAAAAGGTATTAATGGTCAGTAGCCCTTAATGTAGGTAAATCTATCTACTTATCCACCTGAATGTTTTTCATAAAGCATCTTTGTGCTGCAATCCTCCTGCCTCAGCCTCCTGGGTCACTGGAATTATAAGTGCATACCACCACAGCCAGCCTTTTTATAGTGAATTAAACTAATGTAATCATGCAGTTAACTCTCTGCAAAGAAACATTTTATTTCACATAATCCTGACTACCAGATCTGTTCTGTAGAGGCTAAATAGGAGAAGAAATCTTCAAAAGGCTGTTAAATTTAAGTTGTCTCAGATCTTAGGTACTTCATAAATTTTCATAGTGTTGTTTTGATATTAATCACATTATATGCTCTGGATTGGGTGTCTAAGAAAATTACAGATGTAATAATACAAAGGCTAGAGTTGTTTACATTGTAAGATTCTGTGGTTACAAAACACAATACCTTTTCCTTAGAATAAGATGCATGTTTCTCAGGTGGTTTATGTCAACCTTTTTTCAAAAAGATGCTTAAGACCCTCTCTCGAATCTGCTTTGTCCTCACTCCATAGATGACAGGATTAAGGGCAGGTGGGACAACAACGTAGAGATTAGCCAGAAGAACATGAATGTATATGGGGACATTCCTACCAAACCGGTGGGTCATGAAGGAGAAAAATGCTGGAGTGAAGAAGGCCAGGATGACACAGATGTGAGACCCACACGTGTTAAGTGCCTTGAGCCTGGCATCCCGAGAAGGAAGGCAGAAGACAGCTTGGAGTATTCTCACATAGGAGATAATGATCAGAACCACATCAATGAGCACCATTGATATGAGAATTAATCCAAATATCATGTTGACCTTTATGCTGGCACAGGCCAGCCGAGCAATTCCCATGTGCTCACAATATGTGTGGGGGATTCTATGGTGCCCGCAGAAAGGAAGCCTCAAGATGAGAAACACCAAAGGGATAACCAAAATGAAATTGACACCCAACACCACCACCAGGACGAGGCCAATTGTCTTGTGAGTGAGGATCAGGCTATACCGCAGTGGGTTGCAGATGGCAACGTAGTGATCAAACGCCATGGCAACCAACACAACAGTCTCCATAGCAGTGAATATATGGATGAAGAACATCTGGGCAACGCAGCCCCCAAAGCTAATCTCCCTTAAATTAAACCAGAATATGCCCAGCATTTTGGGAATCGTGGAAGTTGACAGGCCCAGATCAATGGAAGCTAACATAGCCAAGAAGTAAAACATGGGCTGATGAAGACTGTGTTCAATCTTGATCACAAACAAGATCGTGATGTTCCCCACAAGGGCAATCAAGTATACAGAGCAAAAAGGAAATCCAATCCAAATGTGCATTTCTTCAAGGCCTGGAACTCCCAGTAGGAGGAAACAGGAAGGGTGGAATTTGGTGCCATTTGAGGGGGACATCTCTTTATGTTCTTTTGGAATCTGAGAAGAAACAAATAAGTTATCAAATCATTTAAAATGCACACATCAAATAAAAACTGCAATAAATTTGAAGCAGTAATCAAGGAATTAAGATTATACCAAGGGTCCAGCAGTTCACACAATGGCTATGTCGCTGGACTCCCATGTAGTCGATCGCGGTTCGTGTTCCAGACCCTGTGGCTTAAAACTCACGCCGGGCACATGTGTGTGAGTGCCCAAGATCCTGAGAGGAGAACAGAAGAGAAGGGATTGTGGCACGGCCATCCCCTCTGGGGGATGATTTCTCGCTTTCTGTCTGTCTCTCTCTCTCTGTATGGCAAGCGCACGCACCCTATAGCAAAAAAAAAAAAAAAAACTCCAAAAAAATAAAAAAGATTATAACAAGGACAGTATTTGAAAAGTTAATGGAAATTGCATATTATGAAAAAATCTTGCATAGATTTCAAATTTCTTTGATCTCAAATAAATTTTTTATTTCATTTTTTATCACCTTTTGAAGTCCTCTCATATGTCAGTCTTTGAAATATGGATTGAAAAATTGTGGCACATATACTCCATAGAATAATATTCAACCATAAAAAATAACAAGGCCCTGGAATTTGATAGAAAGTGGATGAATATGGAAGATTTGTTGCTGAGTGAAGCAAGAAAGGCTATGAAAGAGAGACATTGCATGTTTCCACTTAACATATACTGAGTGTCTATGGTAGAGACTGAAAGACTAGAGAACATAAAAGTATTAAAAATTGTAATGGACACTAGAGACAAAGTGGAAAGACAGTGTGAGAGGGGAAGAGTGTAGGAAATTTGGGGAGAAAATGAAAAGGTAAGACATTGTGGGACACAGATAAGGTTTATTATCTGTTGACGAGTCTCAGCTGGGCTAGACTGAGGTGTATATCATGCTGGGTAAAGTCTCTTCACAATTTAAGTGATGTATAGTGATTTAATGTATGGATAATAATAAAAAAGAAATATATAAAAAAGAAATTGGATAGATTCACTAAGAGATTCAAAAATGTTCATTTAATTCTGCTAAAGTACAACAAACATCTGACTATGTCTCCAATTTTATAATACTATTATTTTTGGAATGAGACAAACACTACACATGCCAACTACACACACACACACACACACACACACATATATATTTGTATATGTACATACATATATAATATATCATGAAGGGAGTCCTCTCTAACAAAGTGATATTTAAACAGATAAATTAATACAAACAAAATATGAAGATGATTTAGCATAAAGTTAATAAATGAACAGTAAGTATGTCTAAGACATAAACTGATGCTTCAATTTGAATTCTAAAGAAAAATCTCTTAGCCATGTGATACATGATATGAAAGTAGTGACAGTTGCTCTTTTCCAACAGGAGCTACAAAACAGGAGCTTAGGAAAGTCAGTAACCCTCTCTTTTGGGGATCAAGAAGTAGATTTGTGAGAAAGAATAGAGGAGGAAATGCAGATCTTTCTCCCTGTTTTATTTTCTTTTTCTCAGCTAAGAGAGACACAAATAAAAAGAACAGACCAAAACAGTGCCTATTTCCAAAGGCTTTCTCAAACTTTCTACTGAAATTTCCATAGAAATTGATTCTGGGAATTCTGGAGAGAAAAAAAATAATAATATACTTCCTTTCCCCCCCCAGTATACCTTGTTTTATTTGTGATTTTGGAAAAAATGACATTAACAAGACATAAAGTGGGAGACATTACCCCTACAAAAACATTTCAACAACACCTACCTTTGCCTACATAATCTGAAACTCCTCTGTTCCTCACAGGTCCAGATCTAACTCAGTAGTCTTGTTTGTCACTATTTCTAAGTTCTTCTGGGCTTCATTTCTAGCACTTTACTCAAAGATCCCAGCCTTACGCGGCAACACCTGTCTTAGTCATGACCTCAGGATCAGACTACTGCACTGTTTCCATTTCTGACTTTATTCTGTTATCTCTACAAATGAAAGTTTTTACTTATGTTACAACAGGCTTCCCTCTCTAAACCTCCCACAGGACTATTTATCCCCAAGGTCTGGAAAGTTCTTCCTGAAAGAAAATAGTTAATCCTCCTGTGCCATATTTCTGAAGCGTGGCATCTATGGCTACTACTTTCTGTATTAGGCTCCATTCTGACCATCCCCACAGACTCTATTACTAAACTTAGCCTTTGGTTCTGTAGATTTAGAGGCTGAGACCCATGGGTTGCGACATAGTAAGACCCTTCCTAATAAAATACACACACACTGGGCTTTGATCGATAATATCAGAAGGAAAATAGTACACGATTGTCCCTCAGTAGCCATAGAAGGTTATTTTCAAGACTCACCATGGATATAAAAATCCTATGATGCTGGGACCAGCAGCTAGTGTAATGACTATGTCACTGGACTCCCATGTAGTCGACCACAGTTCGAGTCCCGGACCCGGTGGCTTAAAACTCACACTGGGCGCATGTACGTGCGTGCCCAAAATCCTGAGAGGAGAATGGAGGAAAAGGGATTGCGGCGTGGCCAACCCCCCGGGGGGGGATTTCTCGCTTTCTGTCTCTCTCTGTCTGTCTGTCTGATGAGCGCTCACGCCCTATGGCAAAAACCTCTAAAAAAAAAAAAAAACCCTATATGATACTCAAGTCCCTTGTAGAAATTAGAATGATATTTCTATATAAATTACCTCCTGTGCCATATTTCTGAAGTGTGGCATCTATGGCTACTACTTTCTGTATTAGGCTCCATTCTGACCATCCCCACAGACTCTATTACTAAACTTAGCCTTTGGTTCTGTAGATTTAGAGGCTGAGACCCATGGGTTGCGACATAGTAAGACCCTTCCTAATAAAATACACACACACTGGGCTTTGATCGATAATATCAGAAGGAAAATAGTACACGATTGTCCCTCAGTAGCCATAGAAGGTTATTTTCAAGACTCACCATGGATATAAAAATCCTATGATGCTGGGACCAGCAGCTAGTGTAATGACTATGTCACTGGACTCCCATGTAGTCGACCACAGTTCGAGTCCCGGACCCGGTGGCTTAAAACTCACACTGGGCGCATGTACGTGCGTGCCCAAAATCCTGAGAGGAGAATGGAGGAAAAGGGATTGCGGCGTGGCCAACCCCCCGGGGGGGGATTTCTCGCTTTCTGTCTCTCTCTGTCTGTCTGTCTGATGAGCGCTCACGCCCTATGGCAAAAACCTCTAAAAAAAAAAAAAAACCCTATATGATACTCAAGTCCCTTGTAGAAATTAGAATGATATTTCTATATAAATTATGCACATCCTCCTGAACATTTAAAATAATCTCTATGTTATTTGTAATACCTAATACAATGCCAATATTATAAAAATAGTTTTAAACTATATATATTTTTAGGGACTAGTAGCATGTTCATGCAGATGCAACTAAGTTTTCTTTTTACTATTTTCTATCAGTTGTGGGTTGAATCCACTGATGTGAAATCAGCAAATACAGAAGACTCATTACTTCCTTCTTGGCCAACTTTGAAAGTCATTAAAAATAACTAGAGGACTGACTTTGTAGCACAGCAGCAACAGACTACTCAAAAGAAACTAGATCTCACTTGGCAGCTGAAGTTTCAGTGTTGAGCCTGGTGAGCCCAAAACATATCAGGCATACCTGTGAGTACTCAAGAGCCAATGGGCTAGAGATTGCAGGATGGAGATTGTAGCATGGCCAGACCCTGTGGAGAGTGTTGTTCTTTTTCTCCTCCCCACCAACTCTTACATGTGCATACACACAATCTATCATAAAAAAGTTATAATAAATCATAGAATTCTACCTTTGTTTATAAAAGATTAACCACTGGGAAATCCCATACACTGGAAAATAATCATTGTAAAGATTTCTTGGCCACTCTCCCCATTCCAATAATTGAGTTTGTTTGTTCCTATCACTACAAGCAGATTTCTCTTACTTCTAAAGTGGTTCTTGATCTCTACTGTCTTGATTCTTCTCTAAAAATTACATAGTTGACTTACTGGATGTTTAGCTCACTGAACTGATGGTGTTATAATTACTAAACTTTTGGAAGAGCATTTACTTGAAGGCCCTTTTGGAGAAAAGGTAGAAGCTATAGTGTAAATTTACCCGTCCATTATATCCTGGGCTAATATATAGGTATTTTGTGGGACTATATTTCAGACTCCGGAAGAGCCCTGACCTTTAGACTGTGGGACTTTACATTAAATCACCAATTCCTGCCCTTGAATAAGCATAGGCCATGAGCCAAGAAATAAGATGGGCTGGAAATTGGCTCCTAATTTTATTTTATCACCACACATTCATTACCTGGGGGACTGCTAGCATATTTCTTAGCATTATTAGGGGACTAGAGTCCAAATCATGTTGATATAACATTGTGTCAAGTGAGAAACTGGTCATTCGCCCATTTCCATCACTCATGATCCATGAGTTATCAAATATGAATTACTCTTTTTTGATGGGATCCAAGGGCTTGCAGCCAAGTCTTATGGTTCCTGCTTATATATCATGACCAGCAAGTACCCTGATTCACCAGCTGAGGGATAGTACCAATATTCGTAACCTTGAGTACTTAAATATTTACCATTATCCAGAGGTGTGTTGGAGGATAACTATATTTCTGAGAGAATTTTATGGGATTTTATTGATTATAATTTAAAATTTTATTGATTTGTGAAATTTATTTCACATGGTCTTTTGTTAATAGTTATGTATAGCCTCTGATTATACAAAAATGAGACAAAAAGAAGAACCTAGAATGAACACTCATCTAAGTTCAAAGAAGCAAAATCTTGGCCATTAAAGGAAAATATGAAAAAACATTGAGCTTGGGAACCAGCAGTTAAAAATAATGGCTCTGTCGCTGGACTCCCACGTAGTCGACCGCAGTTCGCGTCCCGGACCTGGTGGCTTAAAACTCACGCCGGGCACGTGTGCTTGTGTGCCCAAGATCCCGAGAGGAGAATGGAGGAGAAGGGATTGCGGCATGTCCATCCCCGCTGGGGGGTGATTTCTCGCTTTCTGTCTCTCTGTCTCTCTCTGTCTGGCAAGTGCACGCACCCTATAGTGAAAACCTCTCAAAAAAAAAAAAAAAAACATTGAGATTAAAAATCTGACCATGAAGAAGCTGGTCTGTAGTGAGCAGGTATTCTTGCAGTAACCCAGGTTCCCTGCCCTGATCAAGGAAAAGGGTGGATTGATCATCTGTGCTTTCAGCATCATGACTTTCTATCAATCTAAGAATGAAGGATGCACTGATCTTAATCTTCCTGGAAGATAGCTGGAAAGAAAATTGTGGCATAGGAACAGATATCCTCTATAGAACCCACTGGGTCATTATACATTGTGTCAAAACATCACATTGTGCCTCATAAACATACACATTTATTAGGTCCAATTTCAAAACCTAATTAAAGAAAAAAGGATGGCAGGATGGGGCAAGGAGGCAGTGGTCAATGGAGATGCTGACAGCAGTGCAAGTCGTGTTTCCTTGAGGGCTCTGGAAGTAAGACATCTATACTCAGGTAACCAAGAACTAAACCTCTGAGCTTCACATTTTGCTTAAAGAGGTTGAGACTTCTGAAGTAGGGATGAAATAATTCATATGATGGAACAAAAGGTGTCATTTGAATCCTCTCTGGGTTGGGACTTTTTTTTCCTACCCAAAGAGCATGCATTTTATAGAATATTTCTATCAAGTATACAGTCTTTTGCCCAAACAGAAATTAAGCCCATGGTGAACTTGTCAGCTTTTTTATATGAGAAATATTTAGACTTTTAGGACTTTAGTTTTGTTTTACTGTTTTTCCTTAATGTCTACAGCAGAAACTCTGCCTCCCTAAGGGCTTCTTATCACTTCATGTGTCCAGGGCAGCTTTGAAACATAAGGCACCCCAACTAAACTTTAATATATCATAAACTTTGGAAGCATGACTGAATTGACAAAAATAGAAAGAGACTAAAATAACTTTATTCATTATCCCTTTCCCCAACACTACTTCCTTCCCCTGAGTTGGATGCTTGTGATTTTTCTTCTGTATTTTTGTTTGGAGTCAATATATTCTTTCCAAGGAAATGGAAGAGAATATGCAACTTAAGAGAGATGAGGTGAAAGTGATCGGGTATGATTGGTTTATGACATACCAAGGAAAGGTTATAGAATTTTAATGTTATTCAAGTTACAATGTTAAATAGTGAGCGAATTTATGAAAAACAAGTACCCACTCATTTTGCTCCCCATATCATAAGAGCCAATGAGTTCTTCCAAGTTGAGTGATGGAGTTTGAAATGAAAAAGACTTTAATCCATGTTACCCAGTTAAAGTCATAGGCATGTAGGGATGAAAAGAGTGGTAATTTAGATAAATAAGATCACCCAAGAAGAAAAATAGGACCATGTTCTCATTTTAAAAGAAAAGAATGAACAGAATTAAATATTTTCATTCTAGAAATAATAGTTATCTTTTGAATATCACACACACACACACACACACACACACACATACACACACATCAGAAGAAAAATCTTTTTAACTTAAATATACATGCTGGTGATCATATGGAGAAAAAGGAATCCTTGTACATTAGTGATGCAAATGCACATTAGTATAGCCATCATTCTGGAAAACTAGAATACAAGTTCTTCAAAAAATTAGAACTAGGACTACTGGCAATAGATCCAGCAATCCCACTTCTGTGTATACAGTGGTCACTTCTTATCCGCAGTTTGGCTTTCTTTGCTTTCAGTTACCACATTCTAATATGGTCTGAGAGAATATACAAAACAGTAAACTAAGATGTTCTGAGAGCATACAAGAGAGAGAGAGACCACGTTTATACATAACTTTTATTATAGTATAGTGTTTTAATTGTCTTATTTTATTAATAGTCATTAATGTCTTACTATGCCTAATTTATAAAATTTTATCATGTATATACCTGGGAAAAATGTAGTATATTTAGAGTTTGGTACTATACATAGTTTCAGGCATCCACTGGGGATCTTGAAATGTATTCCCTGCAGTTAAAGAGGGAACCCTGCATATCCAAAGGAAATGAAGTTGGTATGAGGAAGAGATAGCCACAAAACCTTAGTCATAGCAGCACTATTCACAATAGCCAAGAGGTGGATATAGCACAAGTGTCCATCAATAAAAGACTGGATTTTAAAAATCTAACTGATAACACACACACACACACACACACACACACACACACACACATACACATGAAATACTGTGCAGTCTTAAAAAAGGTCATTCTTTCATCTGTGACAACATGGATGAACCAGGAGGACATTATACTAAGTAAAGTAAGCCAGGCACAGAAAGACAAATACCATTTAAAAAATGTTCACAGTGTATTATGAAATAAAATGAGAGCAATATAAATAGTTTATAGCATAGTAATACTAAAAAGTAACATGTCATATTTGAATTTTCTTCCTCTTTGCCTACCGGGTTCTTTAGGCATTTATTTTTTAATTTCTTATTTCTTTTAAAATTTTTATAAGGCAAAGATTGCAGAATTTCTTTTTTCCCACAGAAAACTTTACCCTTTTTTTTCCTTTAAATGTTTATGATCCTCCAAACCACCCTCTACTACCCACTTTCAACGACTCAGGTAGTATTTTAAATATTCCTTTCTCAGCAACAAATTTCCTCCTCAGTTTTTCTAGGGTAGGGACCTGGTGCTGTGCTTTCATTGCACCTACCAGGTGATAGGCAATAATTTTGGTATTTGAGACACTTCAGCAAACAAACAAGGTAAAGATCTCTGTCTTCATACTCTACTAATGTGAAGAACAGGGTTGGTGAGGGCATCTAGTAAACCATAAACATAATAAATATGCAAAATTTATCATTATTTATAAAAAGAAATCTACAATAAAATAAAAGAGCTGAATAAAAAGACTTGAGTGAGAGCTACGTTGTATATTTAAATATTACAATTAAGGTATACATCTTTGTTCTGGTCACTTTTGAGCAAGGAAATGATGTCTCCATTTATGGTGGGAAGAAATCCTAGGTAACAATATAAAGTATTTTATTGCCCAAATTTGTCTTCAGCTTCTTTATAGAAGTCATAGGGTCAGTTTGAAAAAGAACATAAATGGCATTTGTTCATATGACTATGTGTATTTGTGATAGTCCACGTGGCATAGTCAAGGATTTGTTGGCAGCTTTTTAAATTTATTAAGTTAGTCTCTCGAAAGATCCATCACTGCTTTTCACCCTCTTGGCTATAGAAGGTACCTACAAATTCTTCAAATTTTTTAATTGCTTAGAAAAATGCTATAGTATATCATAATCATTAAAATCAAAGACACTAGAACTAGAATCTAGATTTAAATCCATGTTCTGCCACTTGCTGGCTGTGTAACTTTTATTAAATTATTAACCTCTCTGTGCCTTAGTTCACTTAGATCTTCAAACTGGGCATCAAATTCTCATTGCAATATTTAGGATCAAATTAGCATGGAATACTTGGAAAATTGCATGGAAAATCAGTGCAATGAAGGGTTTTTGGTATTTTTTAAAGCATTGTTGGTATTGCTGTATTTTTCTTCAAACCATTTTGAAGAGCAACAGTCAACATCTTTAAAAATAATAACTTTGAAAGACATAAGAAATCTCTGATTTTCCTGTTTGGTAAGAAGAAGAGAGAAATTTATAAATGAAAGAACAGAAGGAGGAAAAAAAAAAAAGTGTACCTGGCTGACAGAGATATAGGAATGTCTTAAGTTCTGAGAAGAACCTGGCTTGGTTCATGGAAGAAGTGAATAGAAACTGAAAAATGGTATTTCCATGGAAGAAAGAAAATTGGAGGAGGAAAAAGGAGAGAGAGGCCTTAAGAGGCAGAGGTTATGGTAGAGGTCTGAGCAGTCAAGGAAAGTGAATGTTACAGATGCTGCTTAAGGGTTCAGAATAGTTATAAGACACTGGTTCTCTCTCAAATTTGAAGAGTGGCACCTGGAACCATGCCAAAATTTACAGATGAGGCACCTCCTGATACCCTTGTCTGCCTTTTTAGCCCTATCTTTTGCTCCTCCTTTCTCTTTTACATCCAAACATCCTAAAATGTCTGTGGGGCCAAACTTGGTATTCTTTGATTAGCCTTAATATTTTACATATATTTTTAAATGCTTTTCTAAATAACTCCTATTTGCTTTTGCTTAGAGAATACGAATGCATGTAATTCAAGACTCACCTCATACACCACATTGTCCATTATTTACTATCTTGGATAGATATTCATGATCACTAGGTTTCATTATCTCTATTATATGATCACCTTGTTATCATTTTATAGTCATTATTTCAATACATTTTATATCTTCTATTAGACAAGGAATTCACTTACAATTTCATTCTCATTTTCATTTCTCAGTGCATAACAAAGAACCAGGCACATAAAAGGTACCCAGAAAAGCTTGTTGGTTGATATTGACAAGCTTGCCCACTTAAAACTGATTTTCTACTGCCTTTAAAATCAGAAAGATTTCTCCTCAAACTATAATGTTCAGAATGAACCATAGTTGAAACAGGTCAAAAATAATATGAAGTACAAATTAATTAAATATTAACATAGATCAGACGTTAAATTACATGATTTTTAAAAAGTTTTGCCATTAGAACATATAGTCAGCCACATACATCTTCATGGTAGATTTTGTTTCTCACATTTGAAAAACAAAAATTTAGAGAAATTTAGAGAAATGAAATGTCTATCCAAGCCTAGAAATTATAAAACAGAATATTTAACCTTTGAGACTAACTCGATGTAAAATAGTTTTCTCAACATTTTCTTACTAACTTTTTGCTTTCTCCATACTTTATTCATTTCTATTTCTTTTGTATGTGTTTCTTTCTATATATCCCTGACTTGAGTCTAGATTTTAAGTACCCTGAGACCATAGATTGTATAAAATTCAACTTTGTCTCCTTTCACTAAATCCAAGGTAAGACTAATAATATTACCTAAATGAGTGCATGAGTAACTTAAAATATACACTAGTAATATAATGCTTTCACCTGTTTAGTGATAACAAAGCAATTATGTCTTTTACATCTATTTTAAGTGGCATTCCCAAACAATTATCATGAGAAAAATAGAACTTTTAGACATTCTTGAATGAATTACAGGATATTTAAAAAGATATTTAGCTAATAATTAAAATTGGAAGATTTTGCAAAACATCTAAACCTAACTTGTCTTAAAAAAAATACTGGAATATATTGCAACACTGGGGCCCATGCTACTTCATGGCATTAATGGATTTGATATGAGTAGAATCAGCCCTTCATAGAGAGAACATACTTGTTCAATGTTACGATAGCCTCAATGATTGCACATAATGAATAGATTGACACTAATCTCACATTACATATTATCTTTCTGGTCTCACTAGACGCATGAGTCTGTATATCCTCATGAAATATGTAAGCTCTATAAGAATGTGTATGTTACTTGTTTATTGTGTATTTTTTTCCTTGCTACATATTTACTCACAAGAAATATTTCACAATATATACCTATAAAGATTTTAGAATATCTACACAGAATGAGTGTCCTATTTTTAATACCTTTTCATTCACATTGTTCATAAATTTCTTCACCACTATTAACTCTACTACCCTAAGCTATATATCCATTTAATCACTCATTTATCTTAGGTAAAACCAATCTTGTCTCCAAGTAAAAATTTGATTACACCTTCCCGAATCTGCTTGGTCTTGACTCCATAAACAATTGGATTCATGGTAGGAGGCAGTAGAAGATAAAGGTTGGCCACAATGATGTGTATGTGCTGGGGAATATTGTGTCCTCCAAAACGATGAGTGAAAAAAGTAAAGAAGGCAGGAACATAGGTGATCACGATGGCACAGATATGAGATGTACAGGTGCTGAAGGCCTTGTGGCGAGCATCTGCAGATGACAGACTCACTACAGCCCGCAAGATCATAGAGTAAGAAATGGAGATACAGCAGATATCAAACACACCAATGAGGAGAGCAACCATCAGACCGTAAATAGCATTGATCTTGAAATTGCCACAGGATACCTTGGCCACAGACATGTGGTCACAGTAAGTGTGAGGGATGAAGTTTCCATGGCAGTAGGGCAGGCGTTTGGTGAGGAAAGTGAATGGGGTGATGAGCATCACACTCCTTAAGAACGTAGCAAGACCAGCCTTGGTTATCACAGGGTTGGTGAGGATGGTGGCATAGCGTAAGGGGTAACAGATGGCCACATAGCGATCAAGGGCCATGAGCATGAGCACCCCAGACTCCATGCCAGTCAACATATGGACAAAAAACATCTGGGCCAGGCAAGCATTAAAGTGGATCTCCTTGAGGTTGAACCAGAATATGCACAGCATATTGGGTACCGTGGTGGTGCACAAGGTGACATCGGTGAAGGAGAGCAAGGCCAGGAAGTAGTACATGGGCCGGTGCAGAGAATCCTCATGGCTGATGAGGTAGATGAGCCCACAGTTCCCCACAACAGCAATGAGGTACATGAAGCAGAAGGGCAGGGAAATCCAGATGTGTGCAGCTTCCAGCCCGGGAACACCAGTCAGAACGAAGAATTCTGGGGTCAGGCTGGAGCTGTTGGCCCCAGACATGATGACTGACTGCAGGAGGGCATTTTACACTCTTTAACAGTGGAAATTTCCTGAGTCATAAAAATGAATCAAAGTGAATTAGGGGTTTTGGAAACCAAATCCAAAAAAAGTGACCTCTCCAAAATGAAAAGTAAAGATAAACTCTTCTGGAATATCACAGTCTAGCTTCATAGTCTGTCTAATACCTAGTATATATATTGGCATGTTGTGTAGTCTCTTTATGCCTCAGTTTTCTCAATATAAAATAAAAATAATACTTGCATCAAGCTCAGAAAGTCATAAGGATTATTCAGTAAGATATTTACATAATGTGCTAAAAGCTGCCTAACGCATAGTGAATAATCAATGAATACTAGTAGTAGTCACTGTGGTTGGTATTATCATTTTCTATCTCAATAAAATCATGCTGTGAGATCAGACTTACCATGATTAATAAATTCACATGGTGCTCTTCCTCTCTGCTCTAATTCAAGTGCCAGTCTACACTTAGGGGTGAGAAACATAGCATGAGGTTTTGAAAACTTCAACTATATTATGAAGTTAATTTTGGAAAGAGAATTCTAGTTACTATGGCCTCCAGAAGGTTAAAATATGTTCTCATATTTTGGACAGAAACATACATAAATGTAACTTAAATCTAGAAGGAAATCTTATCCAGCTAGATCCCTGTAAGGCTCCTGCTAACTGAAGGTAACTAAGCAAGCATCCAGCCAAGCTTCTGCAAAAAGAACTGGTCTCTGAAGACTGCTGCCTTGGATTTCTCTGTCCCTGCAAAGTAGCACTTGAGCCATAAGAGTTGGAGGAAGAAAATGAAATTTTAAAAAATTAAAATAAATAAATAAATAAAATTTTAAAAAATAAAAATTAACCCCTGGTGACAAAGTGCTAGATCTATGCTCTAACATGCCCAAGGCAAACCTGGAGGAAAAGACCAGGATATTAGGATATCAGGAAAAGTAGGGATTTTTGGTTCTGCACAACTGTCTCGTAGACTAAAACTCTTCACCAGTTTCAGAAAAAACCTAGATTTGTTCAAGTATCAACACCATATAACTAAATTATCAATCATGCTTATTAACTCACAAACAGGCAGACAGGCAGACAGACGCACTCAGAGCCAGTTCTTTCTTCCATTTCCTCAGTAACAGCAACAACAAAAGAACAATTCTTCACATCTTCTCTCTCAGATGTTTCTCAGTCACACAAAACCCAGTATTTATAAGCTATTTGTGAACCTAGAATATTTTCAAAAGAACAAAAACTAAATGGTTAAGTATCTAGCCTCTAATTTTGTTGTAGACTTATTTTAGAGACATGACCATCAGGCTCTCTGCACAGAAAAAATACGTCTGTGAGATAGTCAGATTTTTATCTCTGAACTCATGTGCACATATGCTGTGTAGCACCTGGTAGAGTTCAAGGGAAGATTTCAGTAGGAAAGCTTCTTTTAGCCATTTCCCTGAATGTCATCTAGGATTCAAGTCTTATCTTGGGTTATCTTCTACAGTGGCCATTTCCACTGCAAGTAATTCTTGCAAAGGTGTGCATTAATTAGAACAAAATTTTTGTTTTTCTCTATTTGGAACCTACTACTTCCTGGACTTCTCACTCTCCAATAAATTATGAGGTAGTTTTAAATTTATTTAATAATTTGGAATTTTTTTTCCTTCCATTTCTTGTTTCATAGATATATGTATTCCCAAATAAATGGTAATCTATTCTGGTTGTAGACAAAAAGAAATACATAATTCCTATTAACCACTTTGTGTATTTTCTTTACCAGAGAGTTTATGTTTAAGAAAAATATGAGCTTTTGATAATTGCCCAAACTTACCTCTATGTTAGCAAAGACCAGTTTAGTGTGCATGACTGACCCTCTTGAGTAAGAAGAGTTCTGTAATCAGGTTCTACTTTTACATAGCGTTTTTGTACTATTTGATGATTCTCTGAAGTTCAGCATCTATACTTGATTGGATCTCTACAGTTATGTGTCTCAGAGGACTATGTTAGAAAGATAAGATCTTTTGGGACTAATAAGATTATTTCTATATTTACCAGCTCTTTAAGCAAGAATGAAACTACAAAAAAAAAAGTATCAAAATTAAGTATCTTTTCCCAGGTGTGGATTATAAAATTTCTGACAGTCCATACAATCATTTGATTTTCATTAATCTTGATCACATTATCAGTATTTCCATCCAGTGGTGAGAGAGAGAGAGAGAGATGGAGAGAGGCAGACAGAGACAGAGACATGTATAGAGGATTATATATGCCATACAAGAGTAGCAGAACTGTGCTATGTTTAGTTTATGGTTTGTCCTTAGTTTATTGGATAAATTAATGATACCCAAACTTAAATACACATGTATATACACACTTACATGTTTGTTTTGCTTTTAGAAGGAGTGTGGCAAAATAATTTTGCACATATTTTGTATATTTTACATATACTTTATTACCTAAGGGCCCTTGTTAATATTTTATTGTGAAAAAGACTGATTCTGAAAGGACTGGAAAACAAATTAAGATGACTTTTGTCATTCCAAAGGGTGAAAGTATGAGGATTCTTATTAAACTCAGGGCTAATATTGGAAGTACTTTCTAAGTTGTCATTGAAGGTATATTATAATATCCCCTAAAACAGCCATTTTAATACTTTAATAAAGAGCATGTAGGAAAACAATTTAGCAGGTTGTTTTTTATTATAAAATTTTTAAATTTTACATGTATTCATTGAGCATCATCATAACATACAAAATGTAGTTTCCCATCCAGAATACACTGTATAGTGGCTTAGTTATGCATGTTATCATCAATAAAACAATTTATTCTGAAATGCAATGCAGTAACAATAGCTTAAAATATTTGAAAGCAATAGGAACAAACAAAATCAAACTACAGAACATTCAGTCATAAGAGACTACTGCAATTTAGCCATTCTTCTGTTGATAAATGTGTAGTGTTTCTCTTGCTTTTGTAAGGTGTTCTTTTGTGATAGGTAAATTTTGGTTCTAATTTTGAAGAGTAATTGCAAAATTTGATGACTTTATATATTTTTTAATTATTTTTTATCATTATAATCTTGTTTATATGACATTGTATTGCATATAACTTTACAGTGTATTACATTGCTTTTTCAAATGTTATGGGGGCTGGCAGATGGCATAGTGGTTATGGATGCTGGACTCCCACATGGCTTCTCACTCTCTCTCTCACTCTCTCTCTCTTTCTTTCTCTCCATCTCTGGTCAAGTTAAAATAATAAATAAAATAAATAAATTCAATAAAACCATTCTTTAAAAAATATAATACAGAGTTACAGTAATAGCCTTGGAATACTATATACTCATTGAACAGAACGGAGTGTCCTGAAACAAATCTATGCATATATGCACACTAGATAATTCAAAAAGTACATTGCTAAACAGTCAGCGATTATGACAAATTTGTACTGGGTCAACTAGGTATCTATAGGAGAAAAGTAAATCTTTATTCTTATCCTAGCATACTCAACAATCAAAATTAGGTGTGTTGTAGTTTTTGATTAGAATAATAAAAACAGTATTTTAGGAGATAACATATAGAAGTATATTGGAAACTTTAATGCTTAAAGTTTTTCTTAAAGGTGACACAGCTTTAATCACTGGGAAACCCACTTGGTCGAGGTATATAATCTTTTTCATATGTTACTAATATGCTAGTGTTTTGTTGTGGATTTTTGCATCTATGTTCATTAAGAATACTGGTCAGTGGTTTTTTTGTGTGTATGTCTTTGTCTAGTTTTGATATCAGTATAATACTAGCTTTGTAGAATAAATCTGGGGTGGGGGAGTCCTTCTACTTTAATGTTTTGGAATATTTTGAGGATATTCCCTTTAACTCATTAAGGATTTTGTATAATTCAGCAGTCAAACCATCTGATTCTCAGCTTTTATTTGTTGGGAGACTTTTTATAACTGATTAAATCTCTTTGGGCATTACTGGCCTAATCAGATATTCTATTTCTTCCTTGCTCAGTTAGTCTTGGTAAGTTAGTTATATGTGTCAAGGAATTTATCTATTAAATTTAGATTTTTCAATTTGTTGGCATACGGTTGTTCATAATTAGTCTCTGATTACTTTTTCTATTTCCATGGTATCAATTGTAATGGTTCCTTTTTTGTTTCTGATTGCTGTTCAAATCCTGGCCATGGTGGCTTCAAAACCACATTGGGCCAGAAGATGGCATGATCCTTAAGGTGTCGAATCTCACATGGCTAACTCTTACGGTTCAAGTCTCAAACCCAGTGACCTGAGGATCACCTCAGGTGCATGTATGCATGTGCCCAGAATCACAAAAGAATGGAGAAGGAATTGTGGTGTGTCCCTTGGGAGTATAATGAATATATAAATTGTGCTACATTCATAAATTGGAGTATTATGGAAATGAAAAGACTCAATCTAATGTTTCATACAATGAGATGGATACATTTTATTTTAACCATTGCCTTCTTAAAGGTCAGAATAAACTACCCCACATTTTTCTGATATTTAGTTTTGTATCATATAAGACTGTAATTTCTCTTCTCTCTTGTCTTCTTCCCCTCCCCCAACAATTTCATAAGCTTTTCTCTCTTCCTGTCTTATGTTATTTTTTTATTATTCTTTCTTTTTTTTTTACATTCAACCTACTATTTTCTATGTAGACCAAATTTTCTTTCTAGTATTACTGTAGTTCAATTACTTCTAGACTGTCACTGGGAATGAGTTTCTTGAAATGCTTTTTCTTTGTATGCAATACTTTCATATCCTCTCGGGATTTGGGACACACAAGTACACCTGTCTGGTATGCTTTTCAAGCTACCGGGTCCAGGACTCCAACCGCTCAGTCAGCCATGTAGGATCCAGCTACTTTATCCACCATGCCACTGGCTGGTCTTATTGGGACATTTTCGTAGGCTCAATATAATAATTTTATTGCAGTTGCTGTTTCTTTTTTTTGTTGTTGTTTTCTAACCAGAGTTAAGTCTGTCTATTTTTGAGGGGAGGGGATTAAAATAAAAATGGAGAACAAAGAATCCTTGCTTTTGCTTTTGTTTTCTCCTTTGTCCCCTGTCATACATAGACAAGAAGGACAAAATAATATGTTCCTGTCACAACTGTTCAATGTCTCTCCTCTCCAATGGCAGCATTTTCACATTACCATGGTTGCTTATTCTCTGGCCCACAGGCAATGTACAATTCCCAGAAGTTCCTTAAATCAGGGTCTATGCTACAGATACTTCACCTATAGTAATTAGTGAAGATTTATGGACTAAATTTATTAGTATGCACTCTCATGTATTTATTTCCTTTCTTTTCATACTTACATCCTATTTTACTGTTCACTCCATTTGCAACTTCCTCAAATATGCCAAAGGTAAGGGATTAAAGGAGAGGCATAAGATGTCAGGATGTATTAGGTTGTTGGGAAGGTCATGACATGTTTTTTTGGTTTTTTTTTTTTGGAGAGGTTTTTGCTATAGGGTGCATGCGCTCGCCAGACAGACAGAGAGAGACAGAGAGACAGAAAGCGAGAAATCACACCCCAGAGGGGATGGTCACGCCACAATCCCTTCTCCTCCATTCTCCTCTCGGGATCTTGGGCACACATGCACCCGCGCCTGCCGTGAGTTTTAAGCCACCGGGTCCAGGACACGAACCACAGTCGACTACGTGGGAGTCCAGCGACATAGTCATTACGCTAACTGCTGGTCCCGGTCATGACATGTTTTTCTATGCAAAAATACATCAGGACTTTCCCAACAACCCAATACTTGAATATTTTTACTGCTACACAGAGAAAATGATTGTGTAGAGAAAGAAAATTTCTTCATAGACATTTTCAACTCTTTGAACATCTATCATGACATATGTTGGAGTTTCCTCAAGTTATCATGTAAATACTATCTGTGCTTTGGGGCTGGCAGTCATAAACATTTTAGTTTCCATTTAGATACTATGCAATGACTAAAGATTCTCAGCTTTATACTTTGTTCAACTTTTTCATGTAAACATAAACCACCTTGAAGGTATATGACTAAGTAGAGTTTCAGTATAGACTGTAAGTTCTCGCATCCTGCTTGTCTCTATGATTTCCTTTGTTATTTCTAAAATCTTGATTATTTTTAGCTTTACTCTAAAATTTCATATATTTATTTAACCCATTATTGTTATGTGTTTTAAAAGAATTTATTTTCATTGATTTTTATGATCAAATTCCCATCTGAGTAGAAACCGCCAACTACCAACCTAGCATGATCTAATAATACCTTAAGTTATACTAGAATTTTAGACATATTTTAAGGAACTATACATTTCACAGTGACAAACATTTCTAGCAGAAAAATATGTGCTCTTCTAATTACTTTCAATGATGTACTTAAACATTTATAAATATATATTCTATGACTACCAGCAACAGTATAAGGTTTGGATTAACAATGGAAGTCATAGAACTCAAAAAAAATTATTAGGGTAGATTATTTTGTGTCATAGGAGGATGTAGGGCATGAAAATCAACAAATACATTATTCTCAGACTTCTTGGGGCTACTGCGGTATTTTAAATACAGTTCCTTAGCTCTCCTGCATTTTTTGCTCCACACGGTATGACCTGGTTACAGGAGATGAAACCAACACTTATGAACAACTTGGTCATAATATAACAGAGCTGTCAACACCCATTTGGAGTCAAATTATAGAAGAGAATTTTTATCTATTTGTGTTGAGTTTTAAAAGAACATTGTTATTAAAAACACACTGGTGGGTGACCAACAGATGGCTCAATGGCTGCATCACTGGACTCTTACGTAGTTGACCAGTTTTAGTTCCAAACCCAGCAGCTTAAAACTCACGCTGGATGCATGTGCCTGCATACCCAAAATCTCAAGAAAAGTACGGAGGAGTAGTGATCACAGCATGGTCATCTCACCATCGAGGGTGATTTCTTGCTTTCTATCTCTCTGTCTTTCCAGCTAGTACATGTACCTTATAGCAAAAAATTCCTCTAAAAAGACAGAAAAAAATTGATGGGCCAGAAGATTAAGTGAAGGTTATGGCATCTGGATTCCACAGAGCTAATTCTACAGTTCAGTCCCATGAAATGCAGGCTGTGTGTGTGTGTGTGTGTGTGTGTGTGTGTGTGTGTGTGTATGCCCAAAATCCTAAAAGGAGAATAGAGCAAAAGGGATTGTGGCATTATCATTCCCTGGGGGTGATTTCTCACTTTACCTCTCTCTTTCTCTGTCTCTAGTGAGCACATGTACCACTTAGGAAACACACACACACACACACACACACACACACACACACACACATAGTCATTCACTTTCCTAGGTTACTTAATTTCACTTTTAAAAAGTATGTATATACAGAAAAATTTATGTGTATTTTGCTTCCTTGTTAATAGTGAGTAGTGTTAGTCTTTATCAGAGAATGATAGAAAGTTTTGGTGATATTATAGGTGTAAAAAGATTTGATTCTGGGGAACCAGCAGTTAGCGTAATGGCTATGTCACTGGACTCCCACGTAGTCGACCGCGGTTCGTGTCCCGGACCCGGTGGCTTAAAACTCACGCCGGGCACGTGTGCGTGCGTGCCCAAGATCCCGAGAGGAGAATGGAGAAGGGATTGCGGCGTGACCATCCCCCCTGGGGGGTGATTTCTCGCTTTCTGTCTCTATGTCTCTCTCTGTCTGTCTGGCGAGAGCGCACGCGCCCTACAGTGAAAATCTCTCTCAAAAAAAAAAAAAAAAAAAAAGATTTGATTCTGGACTCAAGACTAAAAGCAGCATATATTTGGGGAAAAAAATCATTTTCCACAGTACTGGTAAGTCCTTGTAAAGTAGTTCAGTGAGAACAATAATTGAGGTCTCCATCATACAGCTGATGCTTGACTAGAGCATAGAATAGGAAAGATGCAATGTAAAGACTTCAACTAAAGGCTAGCATATTAGTATATGATAGCACACACAGCACTTCAGATTCCAAACCATGGGAAAACTCTATTCCTGATAAATTACCCAGAGTTCTACCTGGTGAATGGTTCTCCTTTATTGCTTATCTCTTCACTTTTGCCATATCTCATTCTCCCTCTTTTATTTCCATTGTCACGTCTTACCCCACCTTCTACAGTAGTCTGTTGCACTCATTTTTTCTCACAGACATTCTTACACCTGTCAGGAGAGGGTAGCAATTGGTAAATACTATGAAATCGGCTAAACTCAGATGCTTAGAGGCTCCTCTGTGAAATCCCCTCCATCTTCTACCACCATTTCCAATCATTTTTAAGACTTATTCTGTGTTTTATTAAAAAAAAAATCTCTGAATTATCCTTGAATAATTTTTGTTCCAAGTTTCTGCAAATTTATTTCTTCACTCATCTCCCTACATTTTGTGTAGATATTAAGATAAACAGATATCATTATTCTCTTTGGTAATCAAAAGGCAATATGACTTAGACAGATATGAGATCATTTATATAACCAAAACAAGCTTTGTGAAATTATGCAGTGAAAAGAGTAGTAAGAGAAAACAGAATCACTAAAGCAAATTTCGAAGGCCTTTTTTGCACAGACTCTAAGACATTGTTTAATACTTTTCTGTCAAGAATAGTTCTTTGTAAGATCAGGAAATGTATACCCCTTTTTTTTTCTGCTCTATATCCCATTTGAGATTTGTTCAACATGGAAAACATATTTAGAATCCATACAATGTAATTGCAACAAATGACTTTGAAATTACACTAATAAAAAATTCTCTTTAAAAGAAAAGTCCTTAAATTCTGGAGTCCTGTTTCTTATTCATATAGTTAATTCCATCATTGATGTGTTCTACAAAACGTAATTCAGTTAACAGTGTGGCAGATAGTCAATGAATATAGGTTATTGCAATGAGACCAATATTTTTTTTTCATTTGAGCATTTGAGTCTCCTCTAACGTACTCTTTGCCTTTCTTTGTTTTTAGATATTAATTACCAACTCTATTTTATACCTAACATATCTTTTTCCTTAAAAAGTAGCTTAATCACTCCTTCCCGAATCTGTTTGGTCTTGACTCCATAAACAATAGGATTCAGAGTGGGAGGAAACATCAAATAAAGATTGGCAATGATGATATGGACATGGTGGGGGATATTTTTTCCCCCAAAACGATGAGTAAAGATGGAGAATAATGCGGGAACATACGTGATGATAATAGCACATATGTGGGAGGTACAAGTGCTGAAAGCCTTGTGGCGAGCATCTGCAGATGACAGACTTACAACTGCCCGTAAGATCATAGTATAAGACACAGAGATACAAAACATATCAAAACCCCCAATCAGAAGAGCTGCCAGAAGCCCATAGATGGCATTGATCTTGAAATTGCCACAGGATACCTTGGCCACAGACATGTGGTCACAGTAGGTGTGAGGGATGAAGTTTCCGTGACAGTAGGGCAGGCGCTTGGTGAGGAAAGTGAATGGGGTGATGAGCATCACACTCCTTAAGAACGTGGCAAGACTCGCCTTGGCAATCACAGGGTTGGTGAGGATGGTGGCATAGCGTAAGGGGTAGCAGATGGCCACATAGCGGTCAAGGGCCATGAGCATGAGCACCCCAGATTCCATGGCAGTCAATGTATGGATAAAAAACATCTGGAACAGGCAAGCATTAAAGTGAATCTCCTTGAGGTTGAACCAGAATATGCACAGCATATTGGGTACCGTGGTGGTGCACAAGGTGACATCGGTGAAGGAGAGCAAGGCTAGGAAGTAGTACATGGGCCGGTGCAGAGAATCCTCATGGCTGATGAGGTAGATGAGCCCACAGTTCCCCACAACAGCAATGAGGTACATGAAGCAGAAGGGCAGGGAAATCCAGATGTGTGCAGCTTCCAGCCCGGGAACACCAGTCAGAACAAAGAATTCTGGGGTCAGGCTGGAGCTGTTGGCCCCAGACATGATGACTGACTGCAGGAGGGCATTTTACACTCTTTAACAGTGTTTTTCTGCATGAGAGAAATAGAGACCAGATAAGAAATGACTTAAACAATATGACTTACAGTTGCCACAAATATTCACCTTATTTTGATAACCAGGACTTTTTTTTCCATCTCTATGAAGAGAGACTTTGAACTATAGTGTCTAAAAGTCATTCAACAGTATAGCCTGACATTATTCAATGCCCCTTTGGAAACTTTGAGTAGCTATTCTTATTTTCCACACCTCTTTCCAGCACATCTTTTACATGCCACCACATTCCAGTAACAAAGTTTGAGCTAAGCTGCAATTGTCCTCTTCCTTCTTAAAGCCATTTCTATCCTCTCCTCTCAGATTCTTCCCAGGCTAGTTATGACTGTGTCTTGTCACTATAATCACATGGGTGCATTCACTGGATTACTCTATATGACCAGCCCTTATCAGCAGTTTAACTTCCCCAAAATTTTCACTTTTGTTCTGTCTTGCTGATTACAAAGGTAAGATACTATAAAATTGTCAATAATGTCTCACATAATTTGCTCAAGAGAAACCACTTTCCATATTCAGTAAAATATGTGTAAATGAATGAATGAATACTTAAATTAGTAAGAATTTGAAAAGTACTCAGAATCTATCTGATGTCAGGGTCTTATTTCCCCATAGCATGAAATTTCAAAGGTAGTTTTTGACAAAAAACAAACAAACAAAAACATGAAAATATTAATATTCTAAATCATTAGATAGTTTAATGTATTTTAGTTACTATTTTATCAAAGTTTATAATTTAACTAGATACAGCATTCTTTCCATTTAGCTTCTCTACTGTTTTGCTTTTTTTAAAAAAAGGTTCTTACCCATATATAATATAGATGCTCTTTCATTTATGGTGGAATTATCATAAATTTAAAATATGATAAGTCAAAAATGCATTTAAGGGATCAAGAGGTGGCATAGGGGTTAAGGCACTGGACTCCCATATGGCTGAACATGGTTCAAGACCTTGAAAATTATACCAACCATGTGTGCATGAATGCCCAAAATCCAAGTAAGAGAATGGAGGAGAAGGAATTGTGAAATGGTCATCCCTTTGGGGAAGTGATTTTTTACTTTCCCTCTAACCGACTCTCTCCAGTGAGCACACATGCCCTATGACAAAAACCTTTTAAAGAGATGCATTTAATACACCTAATGTATTGAATATCAGAATTTAGTCTAAACTACTTTAAACAAGCTCAGGTCATTTATATCAGCTAAAAAATCAACAACCATAAACTTATTTTATAATAAAGTGTTGAATAGGTCATGTAATTTATTAAATACTATACTAGAAGTGAAATAATTGCTCGCTGCTGCTGCCCATCATTGTGAGAGAGTATAACACAGCATATCACTAACTCAAAAAAAGACCAAAATTCAAAAATAGACATATTGTATCTACTGAAAACCTATATATATATAGGTTTTGCACCATTGTAAAGTCCAAAAATCGTAAGTTAAATCATCCATCGGCGACCCTCTGTACTAGTTTCATACTCAGGAAACCCTTGGAGTGTAACAAGTACTGACAGTTTCTGTACTGCCTTAAATTAAATTCTCTCCCCTTTGTAATAACTAGACAGGTAGTCAGGACAGAAAAATAGTAACAAATCTTTACTTTGCTATTTTTGTTATGAGTAGTAGAAAAAAATCTAATGGTTTTTTGAAAAAATGTACAGATCCAGGGATGTTTGAGGAAAATTGAAGCTTACAAATAATTAAAATATTTCTTTTACTTGAAAAAAAAAAGAAAATGGTCATTAAGTTTTAAAGTATTCTATATGCAATCAAACCAAAGCCAAACACTCCTCACCATTCAGTAGAACCAAGTAGATACTGACAATGTGATGGTATGGATTGCATGGCTAGAGAGACATGGCATCGACTCCTAAGACCTAAACATTCCAGAAATCACTGCTACAACCATACCTAATGGTCATCAAGGACAGAACTCATAGAAGTCTCCAGGAGGTTAGAACTAGCAGTTTCAAAAGAACTAATAGTTTCAAAAGAACTAGGAGTTTCAGAGGTTTATAATCTCTGGTTTCTGACTTCTAGAACTCATATAAAAAATCCTTCCCAATAAGGAAGTTCACACAATACTCCAGAAATGTTGAAATATGGAGAAACCATCACTGAATAGTAATAGACTAGAGAAATTGAAATGCTAAAGTTTTCAGTGTCCTCTATTTTTATGATTATGCTGGGGGAAAAAAGAATAGAACCAAAGGGTTAAAGATACTCAGACCAAGGGGCTGGCAGGTGGCATGTTGGTTATGGGCGCTGGACACCCACATGGCCAGCCATGGTTCAAATCCCGAACCTGGCAGCTTGCTTTCTCACTTTCCCTCTCTCTCTCTCTCTATCACTCTGTCTCTCTGATCAAACTTAAATAAATAAATTAAAAAGTTAAAGGAAATAATTTTGGGGAAAAAGGTACTTAAAAAAAAAACCTCACTGCCCGCTAACTCGTAAGAAGTGAAAGGGAGAGAAATGTATTTTCTATTGCTCCCATTGCCTTTGTTAACTGTCCCCATATACAAGTTTTTTGTATTCTTAGACAGCAGTGTCCTTTAATTTTTTCCGAAATAGGTATTTTTGAAAATTACCCAAACTTACCTCAGTGACAAACACAGTCAAATCTCTATTCATGGCTCAGAATCTTTAGTTTTTTGAAATCTGGGCTGACATCTTCTTACATAAGACTTTTAGCTTCCCTGGAGAATCTCTAGCAATATGTCACAGGGTGACTGAGTCTCCACAATTAGGTATCTCAGTGGATTTTGTTTAAACGAGAATAAACTTTGAGCTTGGTGGTAATAGATCTATATTTAACAGCTCACTAGCAGCTTCCTAATAGGAAAAAAGTACATATTGTGGTGATGTGCATCATTACAAATTAGTTTTTCCATGTTACATAAAAAATACATCCTTAATGAAGAAAATCTAGAAACTACAAAAAAGCATAATTACAAATTTAAAAATCACTTACAATACCAACATAGACGAATAAATATTTTAAAAGTTTCTTTGTTTTTTTTTCATTTTATAAATATTATGAATAATATTCTGAATTTTTAAAAAAGAGATCAGCAGGTGGCATAATGGTTACATCTCTGGGCTCTCACATAGTAAACCATAGTTTGAGTCCTGGATCCAGCAGCTTAAATTCATGCAAGACAAGTGTGTGTGCGTGGCCAAAGTCCCGAGCGAATGGAGAAGGGATTGTTTCTCACTTTCTGTCTCTGTTTTTCCAGGGAATGCATGCACACTATAGAAAAAAACTCTCTATAAATATATATATATATATATATATATATATGTGTGTGTGTGTGTGTGTGTGTGTGTTTCTGATGCTATAAAACTATATACAGTTTCTTTAATATTATTTTATGAACTTTTCTCATGTCATTATGTATGCTTTGAAATCAGAATTTCAATAACTCAACCTTATCTCCATCCACTTGCTAAACCAAATTGAATTATACATTTCAATACTTTAAATATTTGCAGATAATTTTTTCTATCAATAATAATGTCTCTATGAATATCCCAATTCACTTCATTTGTATTACTGTTTTTTTTTCTCTCTACATAAATAGAAATAATATTGAAGTTTATGGGGTCAAAAATTATAGGTAAAGGCCAGCAGAGGGCATGAAGGTTAAGGCAACTGGATCCCACACAGCTGACTGTGTGGTTTGATTCCTGGACCCAGCAGCTTGAAAAATCAGACTGGGTGCTTGTGAGTGCTTGTACAAAATCCCCAAAGGAGAATGGAGGAGAAGGGATTGTGGCTTGGCCATCCCACTTGGGAAGTGATTTTTATCTTTCTTTGTCTCTGTCTCTCTATCGAAGGAGCACACATGCTGTATAGCAAAGAAATGAACAAGCAAAAAAATGGACAATTTTAGATATGTTGATAAAAATCATCTCAGTAAGTGACTTTTCCCTTATATACAAAGCAAGTTTACTGTCCCTGGTGAATACCATTATATGTTCTTTTTTTTCAGCTGGACTAGTAAGAGTACCATCGCACTGGTATTACTATTTTAAATAAAATTAAAATTAACTTCAGTAGGTGGAATTATGGACTTTTTTCCGAGTGTTTTTGGTCAATTGTTCTTCTCATATATTGATTATTCATCTACCCACTTGTTGATCTTCAATAGAGAAGTGTTTATCTATTGATTGCTAGGCACTTTCAAAACTAAAATATCAACTCATTTTCAGTTGTAGTTTGCAAACTTTTCTCCAAGGTAAATTTTAATTTAAATTTTACACTTTATGTTATGAGAAAGACTGTGCTTTTTTTAACCCCTTTTTTCCTTTTAGTGGAACAACAACAAGAAAAAAAACAACCAAGGTGGTATTTTATTGTAGGTTTTTAAAATTGATTTAATTATTTTTTATTTAATCACTGTGTATCATTACAGTATACCAAATGAATTTTCCCATCAGGAATACCAGTCAATGAATATCAGTCAAAGATATTACCATACATCAGCAGATAATTTTCCATTTTTATGTTCTGCAAATGTTTTGCTTCTTTCTTTTTCCTCTTGATTCCCTCCCTGCTTACTGATGTTGAGAATCTTCACATGTGGGAATTAGACCTTTATATACAGTCATTTCTCTGTGTCTATGGGGAAATGGTTACTGGACACCCTAGTCAGATACCAACATTTGAGAATGTTCAAGTTTCATATGCAAAATTATATAGCATTTGCATATACACTATGCACATCCTCTTTCATATTTATTTTAAATTTATTTACTTATCCTATAAGTGAGAGAGACAAACAGACAGACAGCATCCCTGAGAGGATGTTGACTCCCTGATTTCTCTTAGTTTCAGCCTACCTGGACCATGGGCACATTTGCGTTTGACATGCTCAGAGAGGCCTCAAGACGTGAGCTGGCAACCTTCTCACATGGGTCTGTCTCATAGAACTGAAGTGTAGTTCAAGCCCAATGTTTTTCTAATTCATTTTCTATCTGGATTATCTGTCCATCATTGAAAATGAGATGTGAATGGCCGTTACTATTATTGTATTATAGTCTTTCTCTCCCTTCAGATCTAGACTATTTGACCTATAATATTTGCTCTATATATTTAGGTTCTGTGATGTTAGGTTCATATATTTTATAATTGTTACATGTTCTTGATGACTTCTTTAACATTATATAATAATCTTAATACTTTTAGACTATAAGTCTATTTTATCTGACATAAATGTGGTCCATGCCCTCTTTTGTGTGTAGTATCTTTTTCCATCCCTTCATTCTCAATTTATGTGCATTCTTAAAATTGAAGTCATACTTTTGTAGGCAGAATATAAAAGGATCTTGAAGGAGAAGGGACTGTGACATGGCCACATTATTATCCAATTAGCCACTCTATATCTTCTGATTGGAGATTTGAATCTTTATACATTCAAGGTAATCATTGATATGTAAGGGGACTTACTGCTGACTTTTGTCGTTTTCTGCCTTCTTTTTTTTTTTTCTTTGTGATTAGATGGTAGGAAGTGGCTGGATCTGGGAAGAACAATGACACAATGACAATCTTTTCTTTTTTTTTTTTTTTTTTTTTGAGAGGTTTTTGCCATAGGGCGTGTACTCTTGCCAGAAAGACAGAGAGAGAGAGAGCGAGAAATAGAAAGCGAGAAATCATCTCCCAGGGGAATGGCTACACTGCAATCCCTTCTCCTCCATTCTCCTCTCAAGATCTTGGGCACACACACACATGCACCTGGCATGAGTTTAAGCCACCGGGTCTGGGACTCGAACCGCAGTCACCTACAGGGAAGTTCTTTGACATAGCCATTATGCTAACTGCTGGTCCCATAACCTTAATTTTTTTTAAGAGAGAGTTTTGCTATAGAACACATGTGCTTGCTGGAGAGACAGAAAGGGTCAGAGAGACAGAAAGTGAGAAATCATTCCTCCCCCCACTCCAGGGCGGATGGCCATACCACAATCTCTTCTCCTCCAATCTCCTCTGGGAATTTTGGGCTTGCACACACACACACACACACACACACCACACACACACACACACAGTGTGAGTTTCAAGTCTCCAGGTCCGGGACTCAAACCATTGTCAATCATGTGGGAGTCCAGTGATATAATTATTATGACATTTGCTGGTCCCCAATTGTAACCTTTAAAGATGAGCAAAGGCACAGTTTCCCATGACTTGTGCCTGTACTGCAAGGTCAGCAGAGGTAGAGAGAAACTGTGTATCCGCCCTCATGGGCCAGGGAAGATAAGAAGAGGCTAAGTTCAGAACTGCAAGACACAAGATGTTCCATAGCTTCAATTGATAACAGCAAAATACTAGCTTCTCATCCTATTGCCCACCTCTTTTTGGCCAATGAAAAAATAAACCTGAAAATGGCTCAATGTCATGGCAATCTCCATCAGAGGCACCCAGACTACCCAATCCCCACTTTACTTGTGTATCTGTGTGTCTTCTTACTAATCCACTGCTGTTTCCACTCAGATTTACATCTCACCATGCTTGGTCACAGAAACATGACTTTCTCTTGTGATATACTTTCATACTTATCTTTTTCTGTATAGTTTTTTGCTTTGTGATTACCCAAAGTTTTACATAAAAAATTCCACAAGTGGGGCCAGTAGATGTTGTAGTGATTACATCAGTAGATTCCTACATAGCAATTGCAGTTTGAGTCCCAGACCAGGTGGCTTGAAAATCACATTGGGCTCATGTGCGTGTGTGCCCAAGATCCTAGGAGGAGAATGGAGAGGGGATTGTGGCATAACCACCGCTCCTGAGAGGTGATTTCTCACTTTCCCTCTCATTGTCTCTCTCTCTCTCTGGCATGTGCCCTATGACAAAAATCTCTTAAAAAAAAAACACACCATATTTATAAAAGGCTATTTTAAGCTGGTAATAACTTCAATTACATAAAGAAATTCTTTACTTTTTTTCTTGTTGTTATAAGGCATGTGTGCTTGTTGGTGAGAGATAGCAAGAGAGAGGAAATCTTAATTTTTAGTTTCTTTTTTCATGAAACTCATTTTTGTGTGTGTAGTGGAGAAAATAACAAAATTAATTGGAGATAGCTACTCAGATGACTCAAATATATTTCATTTTATTTATCCAAAATTTTGTTTATGTTCTCTTTAATTTATTGCTGTTAGTAGTATCTTTTCCCCCACTATTCTCCACTCCACAGCATAATTCTATTAAAAATACTGTTTTAGAATATTTAATTTTAATATTCTAGGATTTTTTTCCAGTCTTATTATATTAGTACATTTTATTTCTCATTAAGGAGAATCATGACATAATGAGACCCTATTGAAGATGCTGCTTTCTCACTCTCTAAACTAATAAATAATTTTTTGAAGTAAAATTTTAATAAAACTATATTTAAAACATTATTATAATATCTGACAAAAGGTTTATCTTTAAAAATAGCAGTTTAGGAAAAATAATTCTTGATCTGATAGTGTTCTGCATGACTTACAGATAATTACTTGATAAACAAAATTTGTCAAATCCAAAAACTTAACTCCAAGATATAGCAACTTTGCTGGTATAAGCAAATAATTTACATTACATAAAGGGACTTTATAAAATTTGGTTGCTTTTAAAAAATGTTTGTTTACAAACATGAAAATTTTATCGTGTAAATACATGGTGTGATTCATATATTTCCCAATTATTTTACCACATGTAACATGATATTAAAGTAAATCCTTCATGTTAGCAGATAAGAGTAAAATATTCATCAGATGTAACTAATGTTTCTACATGCTTATTTATATTCATTTTCTGACATCTCCAACAGTATCTTGATGCTGTGACCTATTCCTGACTCAGTCAATTAGCAGTATTCACTACTCCAATTATTTCTTGGACTATGATCATAATTTTTCTCACTTTTCATTCAACCTTGCTATTTTCAAATACCACATTTATTTCTCTGTTTCCATTTCCCTTTTCTCTTTTCTTTACAGAAATCTAACTAAGGTACTTCTTTCTATTGTCCCTGGCTACTCTACTGGTTTTCTCTTTACATCAAAGTCAGGCAAAACAGTCAAACTCAGACATCCTTAATTGGCAAAGTATATAGATTTTCTTTATCTCCTATTCTCTGTTTCTAAATCATCTTTTTAACCAAGTATCACATAGTATTCACTATGTCTTTCAAAATTCTTGACATTAACTCCAAGCAGTACTTCCTATGTTGCCTTGAATTCAAGTAACCATAGTTACTCCAGTTTCATAGAGGTACACACTTACACATACATATGAGTCCAAATAATTACATAGAGAGCAGAACATAAAAGATAAATGAGCCTGCTATTTGCCTAAAAGTGGATGAATATAGGCTATTTAATTCTAAGCAAAGTAAGCCAGGCTATGAAAGACAAACACTGCATATCCCCATTCAATGTATTCTGAATGTTTGCACTCTGTGGTCAAAATTGAAAGATCTGAAGACATTCTAGTAGGGAGGACACATGTAAATACCAAAGACTGTATGGGAAAGCAGTGGATAGTAGAAAATGGGTGGGAGAGACTTAGTGGAAAAAAACTCTTATCAGATACATGACTGTAAAGTTCTTTGTTGAAAATGTTTATGGTAATATCCTTGATTTGAATTTTATGTACTGCACACATATCTTTGAAAGCATGTAGATATACAGTGATTGAATATAAACATCAAATTATATAATTTAAAAAAAGATAAAAGTAGGAAAAGTTTTTTCTTCTCTAAAGCAATCCTAGTTTCAAATAAAAATGGTATAGAGAGAATGACATGCAGGGTCCCTGGAATTCTGCACAGATATCATGGAGAAGCGTTTCATGCTTCCTTGAAATACATGGGGTGGTTTGGTTATGTGCTTTCCCCAATTTCCTGGAGTCTTTCTAGGATATCTGACATTATTTTTTTTCATCTAGCAGTGTCTAGAATAAACTGCATTCATCATCATAAATTTATTTGAAACTAGTTATTCCAACTATCCTAACTTGTTGTCCATTCCAAAGAACTAACTAAAATTAAATGGCATAAAATGTATAATTTTTTCATATTTATTTCAACTTTTTCTATCAAATTAGTGGTCTTCAATTAAATTTTTTGTGATTTGTTATGATTTTTATGGCTGTATATTCACAGATATCTTTTCCTGAACTCATGGTCTTTGAGTTTTACATTGATTCTCTGACTATAATTTTCTTTAGCTTTATGCTAAATTTAGAATTCTATGTCATAGGTTTATCTCATACTCAAAGTATCTTTCTCTCTAAAGAACAATTTGATCACTCCTTCACGGATCTGCTTGGTCTTCACTCCATAGACAATTGGATTCAAGGTAGGAGGCAGCAACAGATAAATGTTGGCTATAAAAATATGGACATGGTGAGGTATAGTGCGTCCTCCAAAACGGTGAGTGAAGAAGTTGAAGAAGGCTGGGACATAGGTGATAACAATAGCACATATGTGTGATGTACAGGTACTGAAGGCTTTGTGGCGAGCATCTGCAGATGACAAATTTACTACAGCACGGATAATCATGGCATAAGACATGGAGATACAGAACATATCAAACCCTCCAATCAATATGGCAGCTATGAGACCATATATAGCATTAATCTTGATGTTGCCACAGGATAATTTGGCCACAGACATATGGTCACAATAGGTGTGCTGGATGAGATTGCCCCTGCAGTAAGGAAGACGCTTGATCAGGAAAGTAAATGGAATCATGAGCAATACACTTCGAATGAAAGTGGCAAGCCCAACCTTGGTAATCACAGGGTTTGTGAGGATGGTAGAATAACGTAGAGGATAGCAAATGGCCACATAGCGGTCTAGAGCCATAAGCATGAGTACTCCAGACTCCATGCCTGTCAGCATGTGGATAAAAAACATCTGTATAAGGCAGGCATTAAAGGCAATCTCCTTAAGACTGAACCAAAAGATACATAACATATTGGGGACAAATGAGGTGCACCCAGTAACATCTGTAAGGGAAAGCAAGGCTAGAAAGTAGTACATGGGCCGATGCAAAGCCTCCTCATGGCTGATGAGGTAGATGAGCCCACAGTTCCCTACAACAGCAATTATGTACATGATGCAGAAGGGCAGGGAGATCCAGTTATGTAAGGCTTCCAGCCCAGGAATCCCATTAAGGATGAAGTATCTTGGTGTCAGGCTGGAGCTGTTGGCATCATGCATGTTGGTCAAATAGAAAGCATGTTACTTTCGGTACCAGATGTGGTATCCTGTACAAAAGGAGAGGGGTGAGATTGTTTTCCTTTAGAGACAAAAGATGAATGAGTATTTTGCATGCTATAAAGAATAAATGTAGAGAAAGTGATTCCCAGTATCCAGACAATGATCTTTGATCCTACTGAGTGGTCTTAAGCCTGTTGCTGAATCAATAAAATTTAGAAACAGTGCAAACACAGGTCAAAGCCCTGGCCTGCCAGGGTTACAGACTGAAAACTCTTTCTACATGTTATCTGCTCACATTTACAGGCCCATTTTCCCATAACTTCATACATTTTACTGTACTTTTACAAATTATTTTATATTATATTCTGTTATATTTTAATTTCTCAGCCTTTTACAAGTTCTAATTTTGATTGCTTCTCTCTCTCTCTCTCTCTTACTCCTTCCTTACACACATAGGTGTGCACATCCACACACCCCTCACTACTCTATGGGATTTAGTCTAGGCTTTATATTTGTGTGTTGTTTTCAACAATCAGTTTTAGGCAGTGGAAAAATTTTCAGATTTTAAATATCATGGTAAAAATCATCTGAATAGAAAAGATAAAAATAGATTCTTTTTTTAAAAAAGGTAAATATAAGAACTAATTTTCAAACAGTTTTCTCAATTGTAAAATCTTTTAACATTAAATAAACTGTGAAAATATTTAGTACAACTTGAAACATAAAATATATACTACTGTCACAATTATTTTTAGTATTACTATTAGTTTGCTTTATAAAAAATGTAAAATTATATCCAGTCATTCATTAAAAGCTCCTGTATTCTCTAATCTTACTCAGAGAGGAAGCCAACATCCTTATATTTATTTACAAAATATTACACTGTTAGGGCTCATTTACATCCTTTAATATGCCATCCATTATTCTAACTGACCCTCTCTGTTCAACCATACCTATTGAAGGTTTCTCAAACTCAACAAGCGTGTGTAATTCGAATCATTTCCACTTGCCATTTTCACTGCCTGCTGTGTGCTTTTCATTATTACCAAGGCAAATACCTTCAAAGACTTCATGTGATCCCCAAAGTAAAGCTTCCCCTTCCCTTAATATTTAAAATGACCAGACACCTATCATTCTTGCTATAACAGCTTTCTTTACAGATTTTTTCCTACAGCATAGCAATTAACATTGTCTGCTGTCCCTCACTAGAAAATGAAATCTATATGCACTAAGATTTGTATTTCTATCATTGCTGCATCTCAGCACAAGAAAAAAGTTTTATAATGAATGAATAAATTATAAATCATGTTTCTTTCTGGTTGGTACTCCTGGTACACATAAATGCCTTAACAAATTAGTGTTAAGATAAACACTGAATGATAAGAATGCACCAGAAAAAGGAAAATATTATTTCCAGATGTCTTTAATATTAAACATACTTTAAACCTGTGATTTTAGAGATATATAGAATTGGGAAGAATACATGTAATAAATACATGTAATTGCCTTTTGTATTAATTCACATTCTCCAAAGAAATGCTGAACAGAAAACAATATAGAAAAGATGTGGGTTCTAGTAATGTTGCTAATTGATGCAAATAGAATTTTCTAGTAAGATAGTAAGATAATTTTCATCACACATATAAAGATAAAAGAAATATGGCATGTATCATGCATGTTTTTGTCAAGAAGTTGGGATATATAACTAGTGCAATTACTTCTAATTTTTGAACTTACTCATTTTCATTGGTAGAGATCTTACCTCTTCCCAAGCAAGACTGTCCATCTTTGGAGAGAAAACATCTTCCAATATTTTCCAGAAATATTCTTATCTGTAATGTCATCTCCTTTGTCCTTATTACCTCGGAATCATGAAGTCTCCATCTTCCAGTGCCTAATGTACATTAAATTTTTTTCCCACTTCTTCCTTCTAATGCAATTTGAAAATCTATTTCATTTTAGAATTCCGAAGAGTGAGAAAATTCAGACTCTTCTTTTTTCAATGACATTCTGACTAAATATTTCCTATTTAGTAGCAAATTTTCTTATATATATATATTTTAAATCATTCATCCTGATGACACATTTTTAAATCTCCATTCATGACTGATGCTACCGAGAAAAAATACCACACTATAATTAACAACTCTATATAGCAAAATTATTATCTTCTCTGGGGATTTTTCAAGCAAATGGATGAAATTTTTTTCAAAGACAGATGTCCCAAAAGTCTCTGATGGAGAGGGGATAAATCTAGCTTTGCTGAAATTAGATCTATAATTAGAATATGTTTAAGCATAGGGAGGGAAACATTTTTAAGTTTTGACAACTTTTTCCCTGATGGGACATGTGAACAGTGGCTGACATTCATCAAATTATAAACTTGGAATTACATCTTACATCGTAGGGCTTTTCAATTTCAGTTTCATAACTGAAATCATAACTTCATCCACATGACATATGTGGGTTTGAAAACTTTCTCAAAAGTATGATTTAAATTTCAGAATCTCTTACGCTACAGTCTCAAACATATTTTCTGCAATGAGTTCAGGTTATGCATTCATTTGAAGCATTGTACTGTTAAAATGCATTGTTTCTTCATCTCTACTCTAATCTACCTCAACAGAAATACAGAATTCTTTAAAGGTTCAATTTCATTTATTATGCCTTGATCAAATTTAAGGAAAAAGTGAAAGTTGGATTGAAAGTCTCTCCAAGGTGAACAGAGATATCTGGGAAAGAAAGCAAAGAACATTACAATTTGACATCATCTCTTGGGTATTTTAGAAGTGAGTACAATCTTTAAGAAGGTGGAAACAGTAAAGAATTGACTTATTGGCACATCACTTTTCAAGAATAGGCAACTCCAACAAGCAGAAATCCAGTAAATCTAGCTTTCACTTTTGCAGTGAATCAAAACCTTACAGCGAAGTACATAAAACAAACAAAACAAGCTCTATGCAGAGCTTCAGTCCAGAATAAGTCCCCACCCACTAGAAATATAGTGCTGTATTGCTTCATTCCAGAGTAGACAGTCATAGCAATTGAAAAGCCTGAAGGAAACCCCTCATCTTGATATTTGCTGAGTTACAATAACAACAGCATTTGATAAAATGATACTGAAATAAATACTACGCTAGTGGACAACAGACAACCTCCAAGTCTTGGCTTTGTATGGTGTTCCTCAAGTTAGAAAGTCTCTGAATGACAATATATTTGCTTAAATTTTTTTTTCTTTATCTGTTTTCTAATTAAAAACTGTATTAAGGGGAACCAGCAGTTAGCGTAATGGCTATGTCGCTGGACTCCCACGTAGTTGACCGCGGTTCGTGTCCCGGACCCGGTGGCTTAAAACTCACGCTGGGCGCGTGTGCGTGCGTGCCCAAGATCCCGAGAGGAGAATGGAGGAGAAGGGATTGTGGCGTGACCATCCCCCCTGGGGGGTGATTTCTCGCTTTCTGTCTCTATGTCTTTCTCTGTCTGTCTGGCGAGCGCACACGCCCTACAGTGAAAATCTCTCAAAAAAAAAAAAAAAAAAAAATTTAATAAAAAAAAGGTCTTGCT